AGATAGATAGATAGATAGATAGATAGATAGATAGATAGATAGATAGAGATAATCGATAGATAGATAAATAGAGAGAGAGAGAGATACAGATAACAGATAGGTAGATAGATAGATAGATAGGTAGGTAGGTAGGTAGATGATAGATAGATATAGATAATCGATAGATAAATAGAGAGAGAGAGAGAGAGAGATACAGATAACCGATAGATAGATAGATAGATAGATAGATAGATAGATAGATAGATAGATAGATACAGATAACCGATATAGATAAATAGATAGATAGAGATAGATACAGATAACCGATAGATAGATAGATAGATAGATAGATAGATAGATAGATAGATAGATAGATAGGTAGATAGGTAGATAGATAGGTAGATAGATAGAAAATAGATAGGGGGCGTGCATAAGCGCACCAACGTGCCTACCGTCCCTGTCCTATTGTTTCTCCTATTCTTTTATTTTTCTTATATGTAACCATTTCATGTATTCACAACTATGTATACATTTATACTTATTATCTTGTAAACAATTGGCAAATCAAATAAATAAATAAAATAAATAAATAAACAGATGGATGGATGGATGAAGACAGACAGACTGACTGACTGAGGCTGTGTTGCCCCAAACCAGGAGGGATCTGATCGCGCTTTTTCAGACATCACTGAATTAAAAGACAGGCTTTAGCCGGGGCTTTTCGGGGTGGGCGTGGGGGGGTGGTGGTGTCATCCCACCACCCTTCAATCCCCAACCCATAATCCTGATTCCCCCCACCCGCCCTCCTGATAGAGGGGTCCCACGCCTCCGTCTCCCCCGTCCCCCACTAGACAGAGAGCGCCCGCGTGGAGCTCGATAGCCCGTCTGGAGCGGCGGGCGCCCGGTAGGAGAAGCCGCGGGCCGCCTCCGGTCGCAGAACAAAGCCGGGTGGGCTGGGAGGGGGCGTGGCCCGGCAAGGAGGGGGCGTGGCTCCTGGCCCAGGACTCTCCTTCGCTTAGCGGGCGCCTCCTTTTCTCTCTCTCTCTCTCTCTCTCTCTCGGGCTGGATCTCCTCCTGCGCGATCGGCGGGCGCTCTTGGCTCGTGTGTCCGAGACAAAGGCTGCCTCGGCGGCGGGCCCTGGAGGCGGGGGAGAACCGGGCCTAGCCGGGCCTCTCCTTCCCCCGCTGCCCATGGCTTCAACCCAGCGAGCCAGCCCGGCCTCTCCTCTCCTTTTGGCAGCCGCGATCGGGGCACAGGTGAGTGGCTTCCACCCCCCCCCCCCCCCCCCGGGTGTAAATCACAGTCGCCTCTCGGAGGATGTTCGGGGAGGGGGGTTTAGTGGGAGAAGGTGCGTTCCCACGACTCGCGATACCCCCGTGTCCATCCTTCGGGTGTGCGTCTCTTGTGGACCACCAGCGCCCCTTTGTTACGTGTCCAGAAATCCGGTCTATAAAAGCTAACTTGCTTTAGAGTCGTGGGGGACGGGGGAATGGGAGGGGAGAGGGCTTAAATCTGTCATCCTTAAATTCTCCTTTCCTTTCCTTTCCTTTCCTTTCCTTTCCTTTCCTTTCCTTTCCTTTCCTTTCCTTCCCTTCCCTTCCCTTCCCTTCTTTTCTCTTCCCTTCCCTTCTCTCCTCTTCTCTTCTCCAGCCTGGCTCCCCCTTGATTCAATCTGAGCCGATATTTCATTCCTGAGCCACCAAATTAAGATTCAGGATTCGCCCTCTTGTCTTCCTGTCCCGTGCTAAATGCTCTATTTTTTTCTCCTCTCCACCAGGCTGTGCCTTCCTTTTGTGAGATCCTCTGTACCGGCCACCAAGAGTAAGTAAACTTGAAGTATCTCCTTGGAGTAGTACAGGCAGTCCTTGACTTTCGACCACAACTGAGCCACAAAATCTCTGTTGTTAACCGAGACGTTGGTTTAAAAGCGAGTTTTGCCCTGTGATACGGCCTTTCTTGCCACCGTTGTTAAATGAATCACTTCGGTTGTTAAGTCAGTCATGTGGCTGTTAAAGTGATTCCGGTTTCCCCATTGACTCCCTCCTTCTCTGCCGTCTCCTTCTTCTTCTGTTGCCCTCCATTGTTCCCAGCATTTGGCTCTTCTTCTCCAGGGAGTCCTTCCTTCCCATGAGGTGGCCAAAGTCTTTGAGTTTCCTCTTCAGGATCCGGCCTTCTAAAGAGCAGTCAAGAGGTTGGTCTCCTCTAGGACCGACCGTTTGGATGGCCTTGCGGTCTAAGGGACTCGCAGGAGTCTTCTCCTCCGGCCACAGAGTTCAAAGGCCTCCATTCTTGGGCGCTCAGCCTTTCAGCCTTCCAAGTTACTCACTTCCAAACTGGAAGTGACAAAATCGGCTTACCTTTTTTTCTGTTTGTTGTGGTTGTGAGTCGGCTGGATCAGTTTTCTTACCTGAGTGTGTGTGTGTGTGTGTATGAACCGGATCAAGTGATTGATTCGTGACCGGTGACTTCCTTCTCTTGCAGATGTTCCGAAAAAGGGACCAGTTGGACCAGCTTGTGGTACGTTTGGTAAGTTGTATTTTTTTTTCCCCCTTATTGTTCCTTGAAGCATCTTTCGTTTGAGCAACAGCTCGTCCCAATTCAAACCCAGTCCTGGATGTCTCTCAGAGTGCGCTAAAACCAGAGGTGGCCTTCAGCCGGTTCTGACCAGTTCTGGAGAACCGGTAGCGGAAATTTTGAGTTGTTCGGAGAACCGGCCAATCCCACCTCTGACTGGGCCCGCCGACCCCATCTCTTCTCTGCCTCCCACACCCACGAGGGCCACACAAGATGCCGCCACCACACTTCCACGTAGAAAGCAGACTCACACCCACACAGAAGATGAGACACGACCACAGACCAGAAGCCGCACTGCAGCTGCATCACTACCCGCTTCAAACCCCTCCGAGCCATACATGAAGCGAACTGACACCCACCATGAAGATGCGGCACGACCACGAACTCGAAGTCATACAGCAGGATCATAGCTCAGCAGCTCAAATCCCCCAGCAACTAAGACTAACCTGAGCACAACCAAGCCCCCACCTGAACAGAACACACCTCCAGCCAATCAGAACACGGCCAACCCCCCCACCCAATCAGAACACAGCCAAGCCCCCACCCAATCAAGTCACACCCCCACTAGCAGTTAAAAGGAAGAAGCAGCTGCAAGCTCACATCACTCTGAGAAGCACAGAGCCGAAGACACAAGCCTGAAGATGATGAATGAGACTTCATCGAAACATTGCCTAGATACTTCCAATCTTACGCAGGAGAAAACCCGAATAACCAAAGATCCATACACACACACACACACACACACACACACACACACACACACACATATATATGTATGGTATTCAGCTTTGTTCGGGTATTTTCCCACATCATTATAGTTGTGCTTTTAAAGTTGTAGCAACGTTTCGGCAGAATCTCATCTGCCATTATCAGGCTTCTGTATTGTGTTCGTCTGTGAGTCAGACTTTTACAGTTGTTCAGCTGGATCAGACGAACACAATACAGAAGCCGGATGATGCCAGATGAGATTGCTACAACTTTAAAAGCACAACTAAAATGACGTGGGAAAATACCTGAACAAATATATATATATATATCCATGCCTGCCATGGGGTGTGTGTGACTCAGAGAAAGACACCAAATTAGTAGGTCAACATCCTGGGCTATCAGAAACTTGAGAAGCGTTGCCTCACCCAGAAAAAGTGGGTGGATCTTCCCTCTTTGCTGTGATTCAGATGGCCTGGTTTTGCTAGCGGAGAAGTCAAACATGGGTCAGGTCCTTCGACTCATTCTGACTTAGCTCTGGCGGGGATGTTTGGCATATTTGAGGATGAGGTCAGGTTTCCTCCTACTTCGCTCTGCTCCCGGGGAATTTTTGAGAATAAAAGAACCGAACTGGAATCGTTTTAAAGACGACGCAATGCTTTTTGCATTCAGCCTCTTAAATTTGCAGAAGCCACGTAAAGTTGGACTGGGTTCACACTTCCACGTTGCTGCCATCATGGGGAAAGCATTAAGGAAAGATTTAGGCAATGTTTTACCTAGAAATGTTAAATCCTTAACTTTCTGAGTACCCATTTTCTTTTCTTTTCTTTTCTTTTTTCTTTTGGCGATCTGCCTTCCTGCCCTATGAACGGATTGCTTATAATCATAGTGCAAAAGTTTTATGAGGTTTTCTTTCTTTTTTGTAGCAGGCAGTCAGGGCTATAATTGGTGTGGGGGAGAGACACGTGCGTACACACACACACACACACACACACACACACAAATGCGTAAAAATTTTCTTTGCCTTCCTCCCTCTTTCCTGCTTTCACTCTTTCCTTCTCTCTTTTATCACTTCCCCCCTTCTTTTACCCTTTCTTCTTTCTTTCCTCCCTCCTTCCTGCTTTCTCTCTTCTTCCTTCCTTCCTTCCTCCCTCCCTTCCCTCTTTGCCTCCCTCCCTTTCTGCTTTCTCTCCTCTCTTTTATTCCTTCCACCCCTCCCTCTTTTACCCTCCCTTCCTACTTTCTTTTCCCCCTCCTTCCTGGTTTCTCTCTTCTTCCTTCTTTTTCTCTTAGCCTTCCTCTCTCCTACTTTTTCTCCTTACTTCTCTTTTATCCCTTCCCTCCCTCCCTCCCTCCCTCTTTTACCCTTCCCTTTCCTCCCCCTTCCTGCTTTCCTTCCTTCCTTTTCTCTTTGCCTTCCTCCCTCTCTCCTATTTTCTCTCTTTCCTTCTCTTTTATCCTTTCCCTCCCTCTTTTACCCTTCCATTCTTCCTTTCCTCCCTCCCTCCCTCCCTCCTTCCTTCCTTTCCTTCCTTCGCTCTTTGCCTTCCTCCCTCTCTCCTATTTTCTCTCCTTCCTTCTCTTTTATCCCTTCCCTCCCTCTTTTACCCTTCC